GTTCTAGCAGTAGTGAGGCACAGCTGGGTATGGTTGCAGGCCACCATGGGTTAGAGTTGTACTCTCCCACTAGGCAGCTATGTGGTTCTCAAAAATGCACTTTCAAATTCCTGTACTCCAGATGAGAAAGTGAGTCATAGATAGGGTAAGAGTTCCAAATAGACATTGAATCCCAGAGTGTATGATACTGGTGGCTGCATTAATTTTAGCAAAGTAATTTTCTCAGGCTGACATCCTTGTCTGCAATGAAAAAAAAATTGCCTGTCTTGTAGGTATATAATCACAAAATGAAGGTAACATGTATTAAAAAAAGAGAAACAAAATAGGTCTGTAACAAATAGTAATTATTCTGTTATTCTATTTATTATGATTGCATTTCAATGAGAGTATTTACCTCATTCCAGTTCTCTTCATAACACCTGTATTTCTTTATTTCCTTAATTGCTTTTATTGTGGTAAAACACACATAGCAAAACTTACCATTTTAACCATTGTTTGCACACAGACTCATGGTTTTAGGTGCATTCATAATGCTGTTCCACTGTCACTACCCTCTGTTAGGTTTAAGATATCAGGTTTGAAAAAGGTACAGACAACTGGTCAAGATAGGAAAGACTTTTATTGCAGAAAGGACAGCATAGTAAAGTAAAGTGGGGTTTTAGCCTGCCTGGACAGCAGAAGGAGAGGACCGTAGTAAGGCTTCAGCTAATTGAGATTGTGGGCAATTGTCCTTTGATGCTCTTTGCCTGGAAAAGGCTATGCATTTTCACAGAGACCCACATCCACCACAATCAGGTGAGACTGAAGTCAGCAGTGTACACTGTAGTCTCATTAACCCATGTCCCTGGCAAGGAGCTCTAAAAGTCAGAGTTAAATCTGCAAAACCTTAGGCAATGAAATACCATAGTGTTGTCATCACGGTTGTTTTGCTTGCACCCAATTATACTAGGTATGGAGTGAGCCATTTGTATCCTAATGATTTAAGTCTTGGCACCCTCCCTCTACAGCACCCTGCATTTCTCCAAACTGAGCCTCTGTGCTCACCAAATAATAACTTCCCATTCCTCCTTCCACAAGCTCCTGCCACCTACCACTCTATTTTCTCTCTATATGATTTTGATTATGCTAAATACTTCATATATGGAAAGTCAGTGTTTCTTAAGTAAGAGCTTCACATGCCACAAAGGGTCCTGAGAGACAGGAACATGGTGTTACTACCTCCAAACAAAGATGCGAGGGAAGAGAGAGCTGCCTTGTGTGCCCTTTCACAGCAAGAACTCTCCTGCGCTCTGGTTGATGGAATTTATCCTCCATGCAAGTAAAAGATATGCACCAAGACAGGCATGAATCCTCTAAGGCCCCTTTGAACAGTTGGAGCTCCTTGGAGGACATAGCTGAACTGGATTTGCCTTTTCAACCAGTCGCTGCTGTCATTAGCACTTGTGTTTCCTCCCCATGGATGGATTCTGTGTTCACAGACTTGGCTCTCAGCAGTCCCTGCATGTTGGTTCCAGACTGTGCTCAGCCAGAGCTTTACATTTCAAAGACCTGTCAGTGTAGCCTCTGACTCAGAACAGTATACACCTTGAGATCATTTACCTGATTGAATGTAGGTCCAGGAAAAGTCATTCTTTTTGAACCATAATAAAAAATGAATTCAAGTATCTTTTCAGAGGGTTCCATTTCTGTGTTTGAAACTCAAACCCTAACACGATAGTATCAGAAGGCAGAGCCTTGAGGGGATAGTTAGCTCTTGAGGGTAAAATCATCATGAATGGGCTTGGTGCACACATCAGAGGAACTCTGGAGAACTCCGTATTCCTACTGTTACTTTGTGAGGTCATACTGAGCAGATGGCCGTCTGAAACACAGATGGGAGCCCTCACCAGAACCTGACCATGCTGGCACCCAATATTAGATTTGTAGATTCAAAAACTATGAGAAGCAAGTCCCTGTTGTCCTTGAGCCATCCAATTAATAGTATGTTTTTATGGGAGCCCAAGCAGACTATGACATTTACCAATTTTAATAGCTTAAAACTATTTACATTTTCTCCAATATATTGTAGGTCTCTTTGGATAAAGAGTAATTTTTGTCCCCTTTATTTCCTATATATAAAGAAAATACAGATAGAAAAAGAAGTGAACTTTAATTCTTTACTCGCTACTCATTTCACTCTGATTATGCTAGATAGCTAGAATCAAGAGAGGCAAACCAATATTTATTGAGTGCATGAGTATTGCTTTAAAATTTCTTGAGTGGTGAGAAGCTAAAATCAGAGGTGAGAGGGGTTTGTTTACTTACTATCCCTCAGCTAATAATTGGAAGAGTTGGAATCTGAAGCCCAAACTGAGGAGGGCACACACTTATTATGTCAGTTTTTTTTTTTTATTTCACAAATTATTGCAAGCATTTCTTTTAAGATCACTAGTTGATCTCATGATTTGGGAACATGTCTTCACTTTTAGGAGGATGTTTCAAAGAGTGCCTATCAATTATCTGTAAATGATTTATTCAAGTTTAAAAAACTCATTCATGACAGAGCCAGAACTCGAATTCAAGACCTATTCTTAGCCCAGTATAGTTACAATTAGTTATGGAGTCCCCATGCTAAACACAGCATCACTGCCTCTACTTAGTTCCATGGTGAAGTGTCTCATTTTGCTTCCTAGAAATTAAAAAACGGCAAAGACATAAGGAATTAGTAGCTTGATGAGGGCCCCAGGGATCATACTCAGCTAAGTGATTTGCATGTATTGCTTCATTGATTTGCAAGATCTGTGGAGGCTATTGCTTTGTTTTGTTTCTTAATTTCTATCCAACCCCCCTAAATAAGGATTCTAGTGGCTAATTTATTTCAATCCACAAAATTAACCAATGAGACTTGATGGGCTGTGAGATCTAGTTTCCTGGCTCCAATGCACTTGCCTCTCCTTTGTTGCATTCCATGGCTTTGAGTCCTATTCCCTGAAGTTTGGCATTCCTTCACCTGACTCCAAATCACATTTCCTCTTCACTTCTTCACAAGTGGATGGAAAAAGGATCATCAAGGCCTTAGTCGTACTAAAGCCAAAATGTTCGTCTATCCCCATTTGATTTTATCAGTATCATATGATGATTCTGTACTTCCTCTTGAGGAATCACTTTGTTTCCTGGGCTCCAGGTTACTCTCCCTGTTTTCTCACTTCTCAGTGGACATACTTACCTTTCTTTGTCTGGCATCTGCTTTAACTGAACCTTGTTCCCAGCTCTAGTGGTCTTAGTGCTCTCTCTCTCTCTTTCTCTCATTCTTCCTCTCTTTTTCTCTCTCTCTCTTCCTCTCTGTCTCACAGACACAGAAGCATACACTATATTTTTGTAGATGTCTACACCTATACATACATATCCATATCCACATTTACATGTCTTTCTCAATTGCCTCTCCAGACCAGATCTCATTCCTGAACTGCAGTCGCCTCTTCAGTCACCCATCTGACATCAACACTTGATGGGATCTTGAATTTTACAAAATTGCAAGCCGAATTCATTATCCACCTTCCCCAATTCCCATTCCATAAGCCAAAAACTGTTCTCACTCATTCATGTAAGCTGAAAACTCAATATTTCTTGAAGATTTTCTCCCCTCAAACTCTTCTTACAACTAATCTCCAAGCTCTACTGCTTCTATCTGGACCCACTTACCATATAATCTTTGATATTGCACTCTAAGCCCAAGCCTCTATCCTCCCCTACCAGGCTCTTCTCAGGAAGAATTCATGCCCCCAAAGTGTTCATTGCTCTCATTTCCTGTCTTGCTGTTCTCCAGGGTCCATTCTCCATTGGGCAATTTGATGACGTATTTTATTTATTTGAGAGACAGAGAGATCCCATTCTCTGATTCACTATCCAAATGCCCACAATGGCCAGGGCTGGGCCATGATGAAGCCAGGAACTGGATATGAAATCCAGATTTCACAAGTGAGTGGCAGGAACCCAACTACTTGAGCCATCACCTGCTGTTTCCCAAGGTGTGCATTAGCAGAAAGTTGAGATTGAGAGCAGAGCTGGGACTTAAATCCAGGTACCCTGATGTGGGAAGTAATGGTTCTAAACAGCATCTTAACCCTTTGGTCAAATACACACCCCTAAAACATAAATCTGAGTATTTATTTTGTGTTTAAAACCTCCTCCTGGGGGACTGGTGCTGTTGTACAGCAGGTTAACGTCTTGGTCTGAAGCACCTGCATCCTGTGTGTGCTCTGGTCTGAGTCCCGGCTACTCCACTTCCAATCCAGCTCTCTGCTATGGCCTGGGAAAGCAGTAGAAGAAGGCCCAAGTCCTTGGCCCCCTGCACCCACGTAGGAGACCCGGAGGAAGCTCCTGGCTCCTGGCTTCAGATCGGCGCAGCTCTGGCAGTTGCAGCCAATTAGGGAGTGAACTAGTGGATGGAAGACCCCCCCCTCTCTCTTTAGCTCTTACTTTCAAATAAATATTAAAAAAAAAAACTCCTTCCTGGAGGAGATACATGACATAACATATGTAACATATCAGAGGCTGGTTGAGACACCTGTACACCATATCAGATTCCCTGGTTTGAGACCTGTCTGTTTCCAAACCCAGCTTTCTGATGAAGTACACCTTAGGAAAACAACAGATTATGCCTCAAGTACTTGTGTCTCTGCCACACATGTGGCAGACCTGTATTGAACTCCTGACTCCTGGCTTTAGCCTGGGCCATCCTTGCTCTAGGAGGTATTTGGGGAGTGAACCAGTAAATGGAAAATTGACCTCTCTAAAGAGAGAGAGAGAGAGAAAGAGAGAGAGCTATATATATTTACATATATATATGTGTATATATATATATATATATATAGGTATAGATATCTCTCCCCTCTATATATACATATCCCTCCCTCCCCCCTGCCTTTCAATTAGGATGCAAATAAATACATAAAAGCTAAATTTTTTTTCAAATTTTTATTTCTGCATGTTGACTAACTATCCAATATGTAAAAATATTAACATCTCATGAAGAAAGTTCTACTCATATTTCACAGCAGTCTATGTTTGGTTTGTCAAACACACACAGTGAAGATGAAGATCTTTGATAAGGAGAAGATGTAGGCAAGGGAAGATACGAAATGTAACTGTTTACTTGATACCCTAGACCTGGAATGTGACAATGCAGCAGTGGATACTGGAGACTTGGAAGGTGAGAAGTGACAGGGGGCTTAACAGGCACCAGGGAGCAACTGCATAGGAGAAATAGCTTTTAACACCTATAGCACACTAGGGTAACTATGTTTGACAGTAGTTAATTATGTGTTTCAAAATAGCTAGTATGAGGGTTTTGAATGTTCCCTAAACCAAGAAATGCTAAGTATTTGAGGACCTTAATCTGATCGACAAATTGAAACTCCTTGCCATACCCCATGAATGTGTGTATTTATTATGTGTCTATTAAAATACACTTAAAAAGACAATGCAGCTGTTACAAGTGGACATTGATCAGAATTTCAAAGTCTTCAGGTGCTATGTGGGCAGCTGAAATCAGAATGGCACCAGAACTTGATCTTAAAACCAAATAAATGAGCTTGATTTGTGTACATTTGAGCCAGGAGTGCATCCAGGATGACTCAGATGACTGATGGGAGAGCAAATGATGGCACTTTTAGCCATGTTGAAATCAATAAACACAGGGAACGGGAGCTTCGGGTTTCTCCAGCAAGCCCCAGGTCATGTTGTCTGGGAGTTTGTGGTATAAGGGATGAGAATGGTAGCTCGAGGATTAATTGTCCAGCTCTTCATTAATCCAAGAACACACAGCAAGACACATTTTTCTTCCACACAAAATCATACAAAATTCTCTCTTTATTAAATATACATTATTTACAGTTTAAGTCTTTCTTCTGTACAACAATAACCATAGAAAACAAAGAAATCTAAGGCTAACTTTTATTATCCTCATACTGTGTATTAGGACATGTTACGTGGTCTACAAAACTGACTTGGAATGAGGCAACATCACTTGGGATCCTGTTTTAGGAACTAAAATCAGAAGATCAAAAGGAAAAGGTAGACTCCAGCAGATCCACAAAGGAGATGACCTGTTTTGTGCTTTTACCCTAACAAACAGCCTGACATGCTGTACGGTGGAGGGGAAGTCTTTTTGCATTTTCTTGTTTACTGATTAAAAGCAATCTTTCTACTTTTCTTCATTCCTCAAAAAAGAGGGCCCAAACATACCAGAGGAAAACTAACTCCCATCTGGTATGAACATGGTAATACTGTTTTTCTGAGATCAGTGAACTATAGCCCATGGATTAGGTTTGGCATGCTGCCTGTTTTTGTGAATAAAGTTTTATTGGTACTTGGCCATGTGTATTTATTTACAGATGGCTGTCTTTCTGTCATAGGCTAGTTAACTAAGGAAGTGTCAGCTCAACAAAACACAGAGTTTCAGAAGGAAACAAATTCTTGACTTGGGTCCTCACTAAATATGAAGTCTGTCTTTATCAGCATAACTAGGCTGCTTTAAACACAGTTTGGTATTTTTTTTTTGCAAGAGGATTTAAGGCAGGACAAGGTTATATAAATTGATACTGCCTTTCAAAGAGAAGACACTGTGTAAATATTTCATGTAAAGCCTTTGGGATATGGGTTGAATGTAATGGAAAAGTGTGACTAGCCAGATGTCTATTCCTCTTGTCCCTTAGAGTTTCATTGGAAGTGCTCCCATGAATGGAGGCTTTCGTTATATCTGCAGGGGGCTGCATGTCCAGTACCCCTTTTTGATGCCCACCAAGGCTGCTGCTGGCATCTGAAATGAGGGAGAATGTGATGCTAGTGAAAAGAAGACCTGAAGTGTATCATTAACATCATTAGCCCCACCATTGACAATGGCCAAGCACTACTCTGATCGTGTCCTGCATTTTGTAGGAGTTTCTGTGTCTCATGAAGGCCAAGTGAACGAAGCAATATTCTAAGATGGTGTTAGATGGTGGGTCCCTGGCATGTGTGTTGTCCATTCTCATCCTTGCCGCCTTCCTCTGGACAGATGGACCGATGAAGATTGTGATGACTGTTAGACAGTTTCCAGGATCTCAGGACTTCCACAGTGGGTAGAGGGGGATCTGATTTTAGAGAGTGAACCCAAGGAGTTTTCAGACAGTTCTTTTTCTTAAAGCTGTATCTGGTGCTTAACCTGAGCAGGTTAGGTAATTGTGGTGATAACTCTAAAGCACCCTGGGACAATTTTGATGAAATTTTTAAGACTTTTGAAAAAAAATATGGTTGGTGTAGGGCTGGGAAGGATCCAAAATGTCATGCAAAAGAGAGTACAGATTTCCTCATGCAAAGCCCATGATATTGCCTCTTTCCCTTGTGTGTAGGACAATGACCCAAATGCACTAAAGAGACTCTTGAGTTAGGAGCCAGGATGATGGAAGATCTGCCACTCCTGATTCACACAGGAGCCCATGACCTTGCTTTCCACACCAGCAGCCACCAATAGTTGCCACGAATCCCCTCTTCCTCCTCAATGTGTCCCCAGCAAGAGTGATCAAAATCCAAAACCAGCTTTTGTATTAAACCTTTTCTCAAATCTGCTCAGCCACTTTGTAGACTACAAACATTACAAAAGACAACTAGTTTACAAAGTACAATATTTCACTAGAAAATGTGCTTTTCTGTTCTTCCTCAGTGTACCTTAGTGCAAAATAAGAGAAAAACATCACTTAAAAAAAACCAGTTCATTGTTAAACTCTTATATGAAAAAATCAACTAATTGTCAACACAAAAGGGAATGTTTTTCTCTCCCTACCAAAAGATACGTACAGAGAACTTCCTGCAGAAAGGTTGAATGACAGCCCTATTTTTACAAAGTGTGTGCATGTGTAGATGTGGGTTATACTTTTTCCCCTTTAAGTTGTCCAACTATTTGCAACTTGTGAATGCAGAACTGAGAACTAGGTACAGCAAAATCTGTAAATGCAATGGTTTAACAATGAAAAGGGTGAGTGCGAGTGCGGGAATGGGAATGGAAGTTAAGAAAGTCTCAGGAACAGACTGCAGAAGTAATTCAATTACACTATGTGTCTTTTAAAGAAAACATTTTCAAACTGCATGAGAGACATGAAATAGCACTTAGTTATCCTCCACATATTCTAAACATTTTGAGTTTGCCTGTACCTTCTTCCATTAACTTCCTTTCCCATCCACAGGAACAACAAGGCCTATTTATTTATTTATTCTACACATGATTTGTAAGATGACTAAGGACTAACCATGTCCAAGCCTTCAGCTTAAGGAAGAATGAGTTGCAGAAATACACAGGTGTTTGAGAGAATTCAAAGGAAGACAGGGCAGCTGTTGGGGAAACTGCCAAGGCTTTTTCTTAATAAAGCATTCAACAGGGCTGATTCCTGTCTCCCTGAATGCCATACAGAAGATGCTCTCCTTGAACCCTCACTACGTGGTTTTGCTAGGTACAGAGAGGTGACATACATGGTTTTCAGGCATGGAAATATCCAAGCAGGGTGCAGAGGCCAGGACTTATATAAGTGGCAAATGATTTTTAATCAGTTAGTTATTCAAAGATGCACTTCATCTATTTCCCAAAGGTTTTCCTAAGTGGACAACATGGTTCACCAGGAAAAAGGAGCATCTGGGCTAAGGTAAAGCCATGTTTATGGATGCCTGGAGGAGCAATGACATGTGCGATGTCACTAAGACTTGGCAGGTAAAGCACTGAGAAAAGAGGAGAGCGTCAGGACTGGAGATTGTTGTTTCCTTCACCAAACAGGATCCCAAACCTACCCTGAGGTCTGACACGTGGGAAGGAATCATTTTGGAATCTCATGACCAACACAGGAAAATCAATGTAGAGAAAAAGTTCCACCTCCCTCAAAGTCAGTCATAGACAGGGACCATCTATTGCTATCCCCAAAAATTGTTCCACCTCCTTCTGCAGAAATCTGTCTGCATGGATAGAGATTTGTTTTGAGGAAGAGAAATGAAGCTGCTTATTGAAGGTGAAAGTAATTGCAAGAATTTTCCAGGAATGCATCTGTTTCTTTAAGTCGCTATCAAGTGCTTTCCCAAGAAAAAATTGTGCAGGGTCTTTGCTCTGCATTCTCTAGTACTATATGCAACCCCCTGTTACAACAGTATATACCTCTCCTGCCTGGCTGTGAGCTGCCCAAGGGCAAGAGCAAAGTGTAATTTATATTTGTACACTTGATGCCTAGCACAAACCGTGGAGTAGTGGACATTCAATAAATATTTCATCAATGAATAAAGAGAGAAGGAAGCAATCTGTTGACTTTGTTCTGATCCTGCCCCTACTATACAACAGCGATCATGAGTCTGTCAAAAGATAGAAGTTGGGTTAGTACCATCTGTGTTATTGCTAAAGAGAACAAACATTCTCATAAAAAATCACTCCCAAGATCCTTAAAATAAATCTCCTGTATGCAGCTGAAAATGAATAAAGGACGCTATGCTATTCATAAAAATATATCTTGATAAATGACAAATGTCTGTTTCTCCAGATGAATTCTCATGGAAGCCATGGCAATCTAGCCTGTTCACACAATGAGTGATGCACTGAGTGTTAAGTGTATTTGAGGATAAGCAAATATGCTGCTGCTTGCAAAAATAGATTTGTTTGGTGGAAATGATATCAATGAAATTGTTCCTTCAGAAATTGAAACCACACAGGTGTTTTTGGTTTTCCTGTAAAGTGACAGTTTTCCATGAGATCTTTTTATAAAGACTGAGGGCTAAAGTGGAGGAGATAATGGAGGTCCAGTTGGCCATAATATGAAGTTAGGAAACACGCATACTCTAGTAATAAAAGGTGACTCGGGGCCGGTGTTGTATCATAGAAGATTGAGCCACTACTACCTGTAATACCACCATCCCGTATGGGAGTGTGAATTTGAATTTTGGCTGCTCCACTTCCAATCCAGTTCCCTGATAAGCACCTGGTAAAGTAGAGGAAGATGGCCCAAGTGCTTAGACTCCAGCCACCTACATGGGAGATTCAGATGGAGTTCCTGGCTCCTGACTTCAGCTTGGCCCAACCTGTCCATTCTGGCCATTTGGCGAATCAGCCAACGGATAGAAATTTCTCTTTCTTTCTCTCTGTTTCTGTCTCTCTCCCTCTCTCTCTCTGTCACCCTGTCTTTGAAGTAAATTAAATCTTTTTAAAAAATAAATAAAATGTGGTTAAGGGAGGATTAGAATGCTGTCAGACACTGGTTTTTGATATTGCTCAAAGATAGAAACATAAAATTGAACCATTGCATAACATCATGTTCTTGCCATCACAAAGGAAAAACAATTGGAATTAGCACTTATTTCTTTTTTTAACAGGCAGAGTTAGACAGTGAGAGAGCGAGACAGAGAGAAAGCTCTTCCTTCCGTTGGTTCACCCCTCAAATGGCCGCTATGACTGGCGTGAATCCGAAGCCAGGAGCCAGGTGCTTCTCCCTGGTCTCCCATGCAGGTGCAGGACCCAAGCACTTAGGCCATCCTCCACTGCCTTCCCAGGCCACAGCAGAGACCTGGACTGGAAGAGGAGCAACCAGGACAGAACCGGCGCCCCAACCGGGACTAGAACCTGGGGTGCCGGCGCTGCAGGCGGAGGATTAGCCTAGTTAGCCACGATGCTGGAATTAGCACTTAATTCTAACTTGAAATTGTATTTTGCTCTGCAGGATGCAGATTGACTGTTTTTTCTATACTTCTAATGGAGATTACAGGGTTCCTTGAGGTTATAAAACAACTCAACCCTGTAAAAAGAATTCTACATAGTCCTGAGACTGTATGCACACAGTGATCTGAAGGCTGGGCTTTCTTGGCATGCACCTTTTGGTCTATGGGACATAGTGTGTTTGTCTATGTGGTCCATCCATGTAGGGAGGATACTGGAGGATTCCATGGTGCAGAATTACCTAGGGTGGAGCTCCACAAGTCCTTCCCCATATACAACTTTCTACAGGCCTTTATAAACAGATAAGAACATCAAACTCTGTGCGGTCATCTTTGCTAATCCTCCACTTTTCCTATCAGCACCAGTAAGCAAAAATACAGTCCTTGCTTCTCCAAGACTTGAATACCGAAGAGTTTCAGTTTTATTACTCACACCTTCCTTTCCCTTCCATTTCATTAGCATAGATGCTGCAGGCTAACCCCACTGCATTTCAAGGTGGCTTTTATTTCAGGGGACAAAGGAACATGCAGCCAAGCCAAAGCCTGATTTATACAGACTTTTAATAGGAATAGAAATTGCAAAAGTGAAAATTGAAGAAAGGGGAAGAAAAGGCAAAGGGAAATGGTATTTCATGATCTTCCATCTTATTAAAAGATCACTCATCTCATTAAAGCTAGAGGGGGAAAAAGGTATCCTGGTTAGAATTTTTTTAAAATGCATTTGCTAGGATATCATTTAAAAGGACAGAACGGAAATGATAGGGTGATAAAGTAAGAATCTGCAGAAAATTTTAAGGAGAGAACATGAGTGCAAAAAGTTGAAAAATATTTGAGTCCCAAATGAAATCTGTATTCCATGAGCTCTGGCACAGAAAGCAAAGTGATAGGCTTGCAGTTGGATGAAACATGTGAATTTGTCATTGTGAACCTCCTGATGCAGGGTGGTGGTGAAGAGCAGAGGCACCCCAGGAAGAAGCCAGAACATCTGCTAACCATCAAGCCTGGCCGACAGCAGGGCTGTAATAGTATCCAGATCAAATGTGCCTTGCAAAGACGAAGGAGGTATGGTCCACATCTATGCATCACTGAATTGGCATATTCAGCATGTTATCTTCTCTTTTCCTTTTTCTCCAAGAAGAGCCAGGGGCCAAGAGTGAGGTGTATTGCTACAGCAATGTTGGCAGTACTCTCACCATCACCTCATACGTGAATGCTAGGTGTCTTCTTGGAGGGATAACTTTGCTGCTTTGTCACCAAAGGAGTCAAAGGCCTGAAATTCGTTGCTGACTTACTTAGAAGTCTGCAAAAAAATCTATGTGTGTGGGTAAGGGCCTTATACTTACATCATTCAGTATGTTTGAAAATACAGTGTGCTACAGAGTGTAGGTGCTCCTCTAGAATCAAGTTGTGGTCAGCTAGAGGTGACCAGAATGTCATACATTTCAGTGCATCCTAAATTGCTCAGAAAACAGCTCAACAGACAGAAGTGGACTCACTACATCTGTTCTAAATTGTGATGCCTACAAACCTGTATTTACTTTGTGCACCAAATATTTAATATGTGGATGGAAGGGAAGAATTCTGGTATTTCTCTTCTTTCATGCAGTTTTATTTTTCCATTTTTGTTTTAAAACTGAGTTAGGATGGTTTAGCAATTTTGTAGAGCCAGATACTATTTTCAACTCTTATTTGAATTTCTTTATGCTGCAGCAACTTATATATATATATTTATCTATATATGTTTATATATTTTCACCTCAATATAATAATCCAGGAATAACCTAGCTAACAATTCTTACAGAAGTGGAGGAGGCGATTTTGAAGTTATGGAACATCTACTTCCTAGCAGCTTTCCTTCTACCTCCTAGATTCAAGCTACTACTTCCATGCTTCCCCTAGGCTTATGCTATTGAGTGCTGTTCCAAAGAGGCAGCCCCAAGAGAGGGCTGTCAGCAATGAGCAAAGCAATTGCCCACTACTAGCAGCAATCCTACATCTGAAAATACTCAGGGGACAAGAGTCATTGAGGATAACAGTGAAGAGTTAGGGTAAGGGGCTGCCTCTGGTAAGGAAACTTAAATGGTCACAAACAAACCTCTCTTACACCTTTCAGCTGCCCTGGATTCCCTAGTACCGAGTGGACTTGAAAGAGAAGAGGGATGACTGTGATAGCCTAAGTCACAGAGTTCAAGTTCAAAGCAAGTCTGCCAGATCTAATGTCTGCACAACTGAGGAACACATAAGTGAATATGCATGTGTGCACACATGTGTCTCTTCCTTGTCTAGAACAGTAATGTCAGTCTCCTGAGAGGTCGTGTTCACCACGACGGGTGTCAGAGAGGAAGGCAGTAGCCGCAGCTGCCTGATCTCCTAAGCTGGGTCAAGGGAATTGATGCTGTGGTGGACGCAAGTAGATTCCAGAAACCAAATGGAAAACAATTCAGAGAAAGATAATGACCCAAATGAACATCCAGGAGAGAAGGTGGGAGGGGGAACAATAATAAACAAGAACTTCAAAAAAAGAGTTTTAGGTGACCCTGCAGAGTTTCAGATGAAATACTCTCGTTTACACTCGCTCACTGTATTCTGCAAGTCAATCTCATTTCTGAAGGAGCTGTCCAAATTGTCCGGGTATTCCTTCTCCTTCATCTGGCTCGTACGATGGGACTGCTTGTGCTGATACAGAAAGCGGCTCATGATGCCAATGCTGCAGAAGATGACAAATATCACAACGGCTATGACTCCTGCAGAGAAAGGGTGAGGGGAGACAGAGAGGAACATGAGAAGAGCAGTATCTGCAGAGGGAGGCATGAGGGATGGTGGAGAGAAAAGCAAAGCAAGGTAACAAAACAAATACAGGAGCAGAAAGACCTCCTGAAGTGCCTTCAGTCTTCATCCCTGTAAACCTTCCACTCTCACACTAACTAGGTTGAAAGGCAGTTTAAATAATAAAAGTAGCTATTTAATGGACTAAGAATGCCATCTTATAAGTAGGAAATGGCTCTAGCAATGGATTTCTTAGTAATTCTTTCTTCAAAATCTGTTTTGAAGAATGTGTAGCCATCATTTGTAATTAGCACATTTCCTTGTCACCTTGCAATGGGGTATTTGAAGATACTTTGGCATCCTAGAATATAAATGTTTCATCCCTATGCATGCTCCTTGCATGTACATTTGTACTACGTTTTACAATTGTTAAAAATCATCATTAATAATTAAAGGTTCACCAAAACTTTAAGGAATCCCTTCACTGCCAATCACCCTGCTAATCACAGGGTAGCTCAGAGAGGGACACCTTTATACTCCTGACGCTCAGAGTCCATGGAGGTGGCAAGCTTCAGCCCAGGCACATCAGACTCCTTTATTTTGATGTTATGTGATTTTATTGGATCTATTTTGCAAGTCGCCCTCACTAAACTCAAGGTCTCATCCCCACCTTCTTCAGGAAGGTTCTTGGGATTTGAAAGGCAATACCAGCAAGAGTTAGTGAAATTGTGGAAGTTGGTGAATGTGTCTCAACACAAATGTAGGTTTCCCAGAATTAAAATAATGGAAGATGCCAATGGTAATCAATAAATAAGAGCATTTAGTCCTAGTAAATTATATTTGCTGCTGCTTTGTTTTTCTTCCTAGGTAGTGTAAATATTGATTAAAAAATATCCATTCTGGAAAGTCATTTTCATACACACTATAACATGATTTTCATAAACACAGTTCTTAGAGAATTAAGTATTTTGACTGAATGTTTTCCACAAAGTTTTGAAGAGCTGGAACAGCGATGAAGACTGCACCGCTTTTTAAGAATATGTTTATACTTCTATAATTTATATGCTATGTATTTATATATTATAAATATATATGCATTCACATATTCCAAATGTATTTCTAAGTCATTATATGGTATGTTCTCCAAATATTACAGAGCAAGATAAAGGTAAACTGCCCAAGATAACAAACCTATGAATAAACTGAGTGGTTGTGAGTGACTCCCATGGGTGGCCTTCAGATTTAAGAGGTGAAATAGGGAACAGTTTTCCACTTTTACAATGCATGGGATAGTCAGAGTTGGAGGCTGCCCACACTCCCAGGAATTTTCCTCTGGGGCTGGGCTAATTTTTTTCTGTCCTTAAAAAGAATCAAAAAGTCGTATCAATATGTGGCAAAATGTTAGCAGTCACAGAAGTCTTTCCCCTACTTGCTAAATTAGAAATTATGGGAAGAAAAACAGGCACAAAATTCTCTTCCACATTGTTTGATGCCCAGCAAAAATCAAGTTGAACCTCTTCCCTGAGCAGACATGCAGCTCAGATGTTTGAAGAGCTTCTGTAAGGGAAGGTAATGGTTTTGCTTTTTAGAGTTATCACAGTGGTGCACCATCATGTCCCCACAGCCAAATTTCTGCTTCCTGTTGTCTGTTAACTCTCCCCTCCCCAGCACACTGTGAATTCTATTAGAGCAGTTTCCAGATCTTTTATTGTGTACCCCTAAACTTAGCATAGGGCCTGCCTAGTAGCTAGGGCTCATTTAATAGAAGTCAAGTGAATGGTTACTGTGGTTACTGCCAACTTTTAAAAGGAGAACTCCATCTGGTGTGAATCAGTTCATCGAGGCTGCCAAAGGGCAAGGATTGAAGCACCTGCTACAGTTACTGTTCTCAGATGGAGAAGTTAGTCTTTTGGTGGCATCTTACATTCAACAAGGACTGGGAGTTTCTCTGTTTTGAGAGACCCAGACAGAAAAATCAAGCTTTTACAGGCATCAGCCTAGCTGAAGCAGACTCAGAAAGGGTCAGGCTAACAGGCAATGAGAAGATGGAAAAGCAGGGCAGTGGGCAGGAACTGCACAGGCAGCAGAGCGGATGAGATCTGCATCTGTAACCATCTGTGTGGATAGATTGGAAACTCCAGCCCCATGGGTGTCTCTCTGATGATTAGATCTAACCAAAATCACTTGGTGGAGGAAACCCCACAGGAGCAAAGCTATACCCATCTGTCTGTGCCAATGTAGCTTCTTCCCCATGTTTTTTTATTGGCCCGCTTTGTTTGTGCTTTAGGAAAAAAAAATGACAACTGGATGAGATGAACAGAATGCAGGCTGCCTGTCTGTAAATGAATGCCCCAGCTGTTGACTCAGTGCTCAGCTACCTGATGAACCATAAGCAGAACAACCCACAGAACCCATGACATCGTGGAAGTGAGTGCCTGTGACCACGCAGCACACGAGACTGTTCATGTAAGGGGAGGAGTGCTGCAGAGGAAGCAGGGTTCTTGGTGTACCAAAGCTTTAGGCAACTTTCTCCAGAGTGGAGGATCATTTGCACGCTTCCTGCTTCTGACAACATTGAATGTTTTACCTCCAATGACTGCCGAATCACTTCGAACTGCATTGGTAAGTGGTTCCCGCTCATCCACCTTCCCGAAGGGATCTAAAAAGAGGAAGAGACATCAAATTTCACTCTGAGTCAGTGCACTGAGAGGGGGGAGATGACACACCTGTGGATTATAACAGATGCTCTCTGATTGTTCTGTTGACATCTTGGAAGGAACCCAAAGAAACAGACAACCAAAAGTACTTGACATATACTGCTTACATCCCATAGTCTCAAAATCCCATCAGCTTCTACATAGCTGGTAAGATAGGTTGTTGAGCTAGATAATGGCAGTGCCTTGTCTATGTGCTCTCAAGTGCTCTTCTTTTTTATGGATGGTTCTTATGAATGACAATGGATTTTCAGCTCAAGCATATATGCCATAAAAGGAGAGGCCATCATGTTGGAGAAATAAGACCCCTAAGAGTAACCCTCCTTGAGAGGAGAATTATACTACATGTGTATTAATGTATTTGACACATCTTCCCCACATGTACACCATTTTATGTGCTACAAGGAAAGAAAACAGCCAGTCTAAAGGCACACAGAGCTGGGTCTCAATCCTGATTCTTTCACGTGTTGATCTGATGACATTGAGCAAAGTCTTTTTTTCTAATGTTTACTAATCATTTTCATCTACTTGAAAGACAGAACAAAACAGAAACATTGATCGTCCATCCACTGCTTCATTCTCTGTCAGTAGCAGCCAGGGCTGGATCAGACCAAAAGCCAGGAAAATAGGATCTCACGTGTAGGTAACAGAGGCCCAAGCACTCATGTCATCAAGTGCTGTCTCCTGGGATACATTAGAAGGAAGCTAGATTGGAAGCAGAGTAGCCAGAACTCAAACTAGTACTCTGATATGGGATGCATACCAAGCAGTGGTTTAACCTACTGCTCTACAATGACTGCCCCCAATTCTATTTAAAAAATAAATTGAACTAGTATTAAAAACAGATAGTGATACCCATGTGTACATACATATATAATACATGTCAAATTTCAAGGATCTTATGGGTACTACACATTTAATAAATAGCCACGATATTATTGTTGTAGCATTTGATCCTCAGGAAATTATAGCATGAGTATTATTTTTCTTCTTACATATTTTTCTTCTTACATATATATATATGTGTGTGTATATATATATATATATATATATATCTTCTCTTTTTTTGACAGGCAAAGTGGGCAATGAGAGAGAAACAGGGAGAAAGGTCTTCCTTTACCATTGGTTCACCAATGGCCGCTGCAGCCGGCGCACTGCGGCCACTGTGCTGATCCGAAGCCAGGAGCCAGGTGCTTCTCCTGGTCTCCCATGCGGGTGCAGGGCCCAAGCACTTGGGCCATCCTCCACTGCACTCCCGGGCCACAGCAGAGAGCTGGACTGGAAGAGGGGCAACCAGGACAGAATCTGGCACCCCAACTGGGACTAGAACCCGGTGTGCCGGCACTGCAGGCGGAGGATTAGCCTATTGAGTAGCAGCGCCGGCCTATCTTCTTAAATATAAGAAACTAGCTTGAGGCCTGCAGGTAATTTGTCCAGAGTCCTACAGCTCAATCATGACACAGTAGTAGCCAAACCACCGCTATCAACTGCCACATTCAGGCTTATCATATTCTGCTTTACCACCTCCAGGAAGACATTGAGATTGGAGATGACCTGGTAGTAGCAGAACTCAATCTCTTTTATTTGCTTATAATTCATAACTTACTTGGCAATGGATGATTATTCTATTTCATGACATCATGAGGGCTGTAATGTCATTAAATTTTCTCATCTATAGTTCATAAGATTTTGTAAGAATTAAAAGTTAATATGTGTTTTATAACTATGACACAATATAAGTGCTTGATAAATCTGTTTGTAAAATTCTATTTATGTTCATTTTATTTAAAACAGAGATAGAGAGAAAGATCTTCAATCCGATGATTCATTCACTGAATGCCCATAACAGCCAGGGCTCAACCAGGATGATGTCAGGAGACAGGAAGTCAATTTAAGTTCCCCATGTAGGTGGCAGGTACCCAAATACTTGAGCCATCACCTGCTGTCTCTCAGGGTGTGCAAGTAGCAGGATGATGGCATTGGAAGCTGAGTTGGAACTTATAACCAGGCACTTTGATGTAGGATGCAAGTATCCCAAACAGTGGCTTAGAGTCCGTGTCAAATGCCTGCCCTAAATGCTGCTTCCTATTATAAATTATTAACTTGTTACAACATCCACACACATGAGCATGTTCATCCTAGTCTTACCAGGGGGACAGCACAGCCCAGGAGACAAAAGCTTTTCTTACTCTTTCTTGTTTCATGATACTTGCTACAGCACTATGTGAAAACACACATGAGGGAGGCTTGGTTCATGTTTCTTGCAGGACGGAGTGAGCAGTATATGACGGCTTATGCCAGTGTTTGTAATGCATTCAGAGAACCTTTTACTAGGACTTGTAAAACTGGAACTTGGAGAGAGGCTGATGGGGTCAACTGGAGAGGACAGTGTGGTTAGAGAAGCAGCTGGCCACAGGCAAATATTCTGGACTGTGACATTGTGGCTCTAGTGGAAAAACTTGGTCTTTGTAAGCAAAGATGATTACGTAGCACATGTGCATGCATGCACACATACATACACCCATGCTTATGTGGACACAATGAGGCGATAGTGGAAATGTTGTGTGTATGTGTGTGGGTGGGTATTCAGGCAGGCAAAGGCAAGGTGGAAAATGAGAAATCAGAAGAGATGAAATACAATCATGGAGGGGAAAGAGTAAGGCAAAAAGCGGGGGAGAAGGAAAGAATCTAAAAGCACGATATTTCCCATAGTTATTTCTCCTCTAGAGTTTAGCATTCTTGTGTATCTCTATGCCAATGGCCCTCTTAGAACGTCTCCTACTTCCTTAGAAATAATCAAATCTTAACCACACTCTAAGATTCAGATTATGCCCTTCACAATAAAATACTTTAAACATTAGAAGCCGAGGTAGCCTTGATTTTGGCCCAGATCTTTTCAGTCCTAGAATATTTTGATGAAGTACATTGAAATGCATGAACTCAGTTTTTTTAATTATGATGCTCTAATATTTACTAAAGCTGAGAATAAAACACGTGTATCAGATACACTGAAAGCTTCAGTAGCATGAGTGCAAACGTGTAAACAATGCCACGCCTGTATCCATCTTCAGGCAGACCTGCGGCAGAGTGACCTACAAGGGAGTGATGCACTCATTTCAATAGTGCCTCCTGTCTTCACCACGTGTTTAAATTATCTTTAACAACTTGAGAGCCACCTTTTGGTTTTCATTCCCTTCCTTCCAACGAGAATGACTCAATTTAAATACCTGTCTTTCTCTCATATAATACATATCCAAAATTTGGAAGAATCTCCCATTTTTAAAATGTTAGATTCCCACAACTGCATCTGGAGATTTAGCATGGGCAGTTTCTCTGGTTGCTAAATATACTAAATCATACCTGAAATGTGGACCTCTACTCACATACAATGACTCTTCAAAAAATTTATGGAAAATGAAATTAAAAATAACACGCATTTTCCATGAATATTTTTAACTCTTTAATTTATAGTTATATAATGGTCCACCTTCTAAATGCTGCAAACCCCTCTCCCTAAGCCACCACACACAACCCAGTTCTTCATAAATCTTTGACAACTTCATCTATAACTACCATTGTCCTTACTGTGTGTCAGGGGCAGCAAGGGGAGGGAAGGACAATGGCATAGAAACCTAGGAGGTTTGTCAAAAAAATCTCAGACGAGCCCCTTCACCACCACTACCTGCAAAACCCCATACTACCTATTAGTATTATCAGTAAAATCTAAACAGCCCATGTATTCTGTGTATTTAGAAAACTCCACAGAAAATCCTGAATAGACTATTTATTCATACACAGGAAACTGCATAGCATAACTTGAATGTAGAACTCTATTGCCATTATCTATCTGTCATTTATTTATTATCTGTATACCTTCCGACCTACCATCTATCTATGTCTGAGTTTTAACTTAGTGCATTAATTAAATTCTAAAATCTTTCTGTGTTTTATGATGCTTTGACATCTTCTAGCTCTGGCAGGATAGCAGGAGTGGATTACACCCCTACCAGAGCAAACTGGTTCCTAGAGACAACAACAACAACAACGAAAAAGACCCTGCTTGCAAAAACACCTTTCATATATCAACCAGTCAATCCAAAGTCTATATCCCAAATACCTCCTTTATTTAAATTGCACCTGCCAAGCTAACATTTCCCCTGTTACCAAACACCCCAGAGCTAAGTATTAGATAACTGAAGACAGTTCCTATAGATAGACCCTTTGTTAAAATATTCCTATTATCCATTCCTAAACTTGATCAAGCTCTTCTATCCTGCCTCACCCATTCCTTTCCATAGAAACCACAACAAACTCACCAAGCAACACTTTTCCCTCTTTCCTTCTACCTCTTGATCAATCCTGTGCCTTCCTCATATAGCTCTGTGTGGCAGTGCAGTGTGTGCTCTTTCTTTGGAAACTATTAGCAAGCTGTTCTATAAAAGACAGTTATCTGAAAGACTGTCACCTCACGCTACCTGATTAAAACAAGTATCAGAGACATTTGAAGAAACGCAGAATGGTGGTGACTAAAACAGATAGAAAAACTATTTGAGGAATGGTAAGCAAGAGAAGATTTATGAATGAGGGTTCTGTGCGATTTTCTGCTTTTCAAAAAGAAATCATGATTTTAAAAGAGGTTTAATCAAGGAATTTAGTAGTATTAGTCAACTCTTTAAACTAGAAGTTCCTCAAAGATGGTGAAAGTACTGTTAATAAGGGAAGCCCAATGGGGCATTCTATGGATATACCGGATGAAGAATGCACAGTTGTCACTGCGTTGACATCTGAATCCACCATGGAGCCACAGCTGGATTCTACCAATGTTCCTTGGACAGTCACAGGAGCAGTGGTGAAGTGACGCAGGGCTGCCTTCAGTGGTGCTATGTTGTTATACTGGACTGAAGAGAGGCATCCAAGAAAACCCAGGGTGTTTGCCTTAGCAACTTCAGAATCCAATCCAAGGCTCTCTGAAATGTAAAAAAAAAAAAAAAAAACCAGAGGTCTTTTTTAGAACTATGGTGCACATCCTATTTGGATAATATCTGACAATACAAAAATTATCTTATTAGTCTTTAAATAATGAAACCCCTCCCCTACTCCCTTCCCCTGTCACCAACCCCATCCCACCACAAGCATCTACATCAATCACATTTCATTTAAAAAAATAAAAAAGCTTCTAGGGTGGTCTATGCTTTGACATAAAATGTTTTAAGCTTTTAAATTTTCATTCATGTATTTAATGAACTGCAACAAAGACAATAAATCTATGCTGTACTCTAGGAGTTTCATAGAATTTGTATCATTATCCTCATCACCATTTATCTATGGATGCTGGAGATTACTGTAAGCCTACTACAACTCTCTTTATAGCATTTCACTCAAAAATATTGCAAGAGGATAGAAAAGAAGAGAGGTAGACAGAGAGATTAGAAGTCATAATAGTCTTTCCAATCATGTATCAAGTTAACTGTTTTAAGCCAACTACTTTAATACATTCCTTTTCTATCAGAATTTCTACTTGCTTGGTTTTGTCCATAGTACTAATTGGTGAGCATTAGAATGGATTTCCTACTCCAGATTTCAGCTCCCCAAACAGTTTTTGAATCTTCATAAAAAATGAGGATGTAATCACTTGTGATTCACAGCAAGATCAGATGTCTCATTTTCTTTACGATTTATAGTATGATTACGCAGTATCTCATGTCTTCCTCTTTAAAAGGGTCCTTGGAACAAACTGATATGACGCAATTACATAAAATGGCAAAGTGTGAGCCTGATTTTTTCTTAAGGTACAATAGTTTCAATGGACCTGGATGGTTCAAAAGATTATTTTTGTTAAAATAATCTGCTTATTTCTGGAAAGGAAGGAATTTTTTTTTTTGTAGGTTATAATTTTATTTTGATCTCTAAATGGTCAAAGTTTCACTCCATTGATCTCTAATACATTATGTTGGCAACCTTAAGGAAAAAGGTGATGAGAATGTAGACAAAGATTAGAAATTAATATCCCTTAATAATGCAATTTCTAATTGTTGCTTTCATTTTACCCTCTTCCATTAAAAGCCACTTAAATTTCACCAATTTATCACCCCTCTCTTCTTACAGGGAAAAGAAAGAAATCATGTGTACTAAATGTACATGACTATAGTCATAAGTTGCTGCAAACTTAAACAGTTTGAGACACAAATTTATTATTGTTCAGTTCTGTAGGTTAGAAGCTGGAGATAGTTCTCACTGAGCTAAGATCAAGGTGCCAGCGAGGTTGGAGTTCTTCTAGAGGCTCAGGAGGTAATACTTCATGTCTTTGTCTTTTCTAGCTCCTAGAAACCATTCACTCTCCATGGTTATGACTCCCTTTCTCTATTTTCAGTGCAAGCAGCATTATGTTCTCTGTGCCTTATTCCATAGCCACATCTATCTACAATTCTTTCTCTGCTTCTCTTTTTCACTTGTAAAAACATTTGTGATGATGACACACTAATAATATGGTATAATCCCCTGTTTGATGTTTTATTTGTATCATTTGAGAGGTGCACATACACATGCACACACACACACACACACAGAAGCAGACAGAGCTTCCATGTCTTAATAGATACCTTAACTGCTGGGTTAACCCCCCACCGTTTTTGAATACAACTGATTGTCAACATTAATTTCCTTTGCAGCCTTCATTCCTCTTTGACATAGAGCCTAATACATTCGCAAGTTGTAGGGATTAGTTTATGGACAACTTTTCAGGCCATAATTCTGCCTATGACTCCATTTCTGAGATTCTCTGAGTATTTCCCAAGTGATTTTAATGTAAGTCCACTGGAGGCTGAGTGTGCAAGAAGCTGTTGTCTTCCAAATACTTGCACAGATATCCTTCAGGGATAGTGTAAGGGTGTTGCTTACTCATGAAAGTATCATGTATGCTTATGTGTTATCAAGAGCACTAAACTCCACATCCCACTTGAATCTTCCCACACAATTATTCTGCAGTCTTCCAGGCCAAATAACTTTAGCAAAGTGGATGCCATGCACTTGAGACACCATAATGTAAACCATTTAAACCATCTCAAACTACATGTTAGCGACTGATCGGTACTTAGCAAGAGGTAGAGTTAGAGATTTTAAATTTTATTTAAATTTTAAATTTCATTTATATATATTTATTTATATGAGAGTCAGAGACAGAGAGACAGAGGGGCTGCTATGACTCCCTAAATTCTACAATGGCTAGGACTGAGCCAAGCTGATGCTGGGAGCAAGAAAGTCAATCCAAGTCTTTCATGTGTGGATGGCAGGAATCCAATTACTTGAGCTCTCATCACTGCTTCCCAGGGTCTGCATTGGCAGGAAGCTGGAGTCAGAAGCCTGAGCTGAGAATCAACCCAACCACTTTAATGGGCCTCATGGGTATTTTAATCAGAATGCTAACCACTAGGCCAAACATCTGCCCCAGATCAGAAGTACTTGAGTTAAGTGAGAGACGACAAGAAGAGCACAAAATGGCAATGGCATTTTCGCATTATTGGGTACAAGTTCCATATACCAGAAAAAATACATTGGGAAAAATCATGAAAACAGCATTCTCTTCTACCAGGAAGAAAGATTTTGAATGAAATTTTTTCTCTAGGGTAGTGTGTTTATTCTGTTTGCTTAAGAAGGATGGAGACCTTGTGGAGCTTCTGAGAGGAAACAGAGAGAAGCAGAATCCCTGAATAAGAAAATCCTCTCAATAGGACAGCTAATGTAGTGAATTCTTAGATTCTGACACAGAAGCAGAGGAAAGAAAATTAAGGTGGCTTGAAGTCTTTTTTTCCCCTCTATGATAGTGCTAACATGTGGCTGGGAATAATTACTTGCTAAACAATAAATGGTAAGAAAAACTCAACATTTACCACTCACTGAGTAGTTCTCTTTGACACTGTAGCGATTGTTTTAAAAATATTATTCATATTTTCTTCAAATGTTCTTCTGAGTTTTTAACCTCCAGAGTTTACAGGTAAAACAACTGAGACTCAAGTTAAAAGACAGACTAGACTATTGGGTCATTTGTCATATTGATTAAGACACTGGTTGAAACATCTACATCTCATATTGGAATGCCTCAGTTGGAACCCTTGCTCCACTGCTGATTCCAGCTCCTTGCTAATGCACAACCTGGGAGGCATCAAGTAATCAATCAAATATTTGGGTCCCAGCCACCCACCTGGGAGACCTGGAATAAGTTGCTGGCTCCTGGATTCAGAGGAGTGAATCGGCACTCTTTTAAAATAAAATAATTTTATATCAATTATCTGGAACAAAACAGATTACAAGAACTAGAAAAGGGCCCAGCATCATGGAGCAGCTTGTTAAACTGCTGCCTGCAAAGTTGCCATCCATATGAGCATCCCATATGACATCTCATATGAGTTCAAGTACCAACAGCTTTGCTTCTGATGAAGATCCCTGCTGATACACCTTGGAAAGCAGTGAAGGGTGACCCAAGTACATTGGCCCCTGACACCTACATGGGAGACCCAGATGGAATTTGAGGCTCCTGGCTTTGGCCTTCCCACTCCCAGCTGTTGTGGCCATTTGGAGAGTAAACCAGTAGATGGAAGATCCCTCCCTCTTTCTGTATAACTCTGCCTTTCAACTAAATAAATAAATCCTTAAAAGAGCTAACAAAGATATAAATTATTTGGTTGAATGTCTCAAATTAACTGAATTCTGTATTGTGTTTTGTAATCATTTTAGGTTACAATTGCATACAGTCATGAAGAGTTAGGCAGGTATATGCTGAGCCAGAGAATGAATATCAAAGCCAAACACAACAGTGAATGTGACTACTCAGGAGTTGATAGAATGGGAAAGCAAACCAAGGCCACATCGCCGAAAATCACCAGTATTCTACTCTGACTCAAGTCACATTCAAACAAGGCTACTCTTCAGAATATATATCACTATCCTAAGGCACCACAAGTATCTTAGAAAAAAAATCCACTACAGTTTCAAATGCCTAACTCAAGATTAACTTAATTACTCCCTCTTAATACACTTTAAATATCATTGAAACACAATTTCTGATTTATTAGATTTTGGTTCCCTGCTCTCAAACTTGAATATAGAAATAGCACTGGATGTTGACAAGGTGCAGGTTGGAAGGAGACATACTTAGGCTGATGATTGATGTCCCTGTAAGTGTGACTTCCATTGCCTAAGCTTCAGTTTTGGGCACAGTAAAATAGTGGAAATGTAACCTGCCATGTAAATCATGGTGGAAAAAGTATAATAATGGAAATACAATGCTTAGCTCTGTGCCTGTAATGAATAGTTTATACTACTCAATAATTTATTGATTTGTGCATCGATTTATTTATTGTATACATTTGGGTAGTACCACATGGCATTTTGAAATATGTATAGGAAGGGCTTCAACAAGTTCATGAAAGATGCACATATAATAAAATCACTTATGGGGCCAGTGCTGTGGTGCAGTGGGTTAAAGCCCTGGCCCACAGCACAGGCATCCCATATGGGTACCCGTTCGAGTCCTGGCTGCTTCACTTCTGACCCAGCTCTCTACTATGACCTGGGAAAGCAGTTGAAGATGGCCCAAGTGCCTGGGCCCCTGCACCTGCGGAGGAGACCTCGAAGAAACTCCTGGCTTTTGGCTTTGGATCACCTCAACTCTGGCTGTTGCAGTCATTAGGGGAGTGAACCAGCGACTGGAAGGCTTCTCTCTCTCTCTCTCTCTCTCTCTCTCTCTCTCTCTCTCCCTTTCTCTCTGGCTCTACCTCTCTCTGTGACTCTCTTTCAAATAAAAATAAAACTTTAAAAAAAATCATATGCATGCATCTCCAATTGCTTCTGCATCCAAACAAATTTCCTTTTCATTCCATTCTACCACAAACTTTTTGAAGTACCCTCAAACATTGTAGAATGACTAAATCAAGCCAGCTAACATATATGTGCACAATCTTATACATTATGT